ATAAACTCCACCAGTGGTGACAGTGTTTGTTCACAATATGTTGGCACCAAGTGTAAGTTTTACCCACCACAAGTTTTGCCTCCCTCTGTAATGGCTCAGTCAGCACATTAACCCAGATAGCTGGATGGCAGGGTCCAGGGTTGTTGTTGTTCAACCAAGATTCTGTGAAGATGAAAACACAGCAGTCCCGCACATCATGCCGCCCGGATCTTAGGCGTTCTATGTGGTTTATTTTATTGACTTTTATAGTGCATGTTGGCCAGAATAAGGGATGGTAATGAAGATCTGTGTGGGCTAGTGGCTAGCTTAGCCCAGATGACTCCTCGCCTACCATGCAACTTTTCCTCATACATCGCTTACAGTGCCTCTGTTTTGGATGAGATATAGCAAGTCCAATTGCATGGTAATCCGACAAAGAAAACCGAAGTTTCAAAGTTCTTCTTTGACTTTCTGGTCCAAGATGAGATGTTTGGTCTTATTCCTTATAGTTAGAAAGCAATGACTATTAGTCACCGTTATCATCTTCATCAGCATCATCAGTGCACAGCATAAAAGTGTAAAAAAAAAATCTCTAAAGAATTTTACACCAACAAAACAGCCACTGAAACGTTTTCTTAGCATGAATCATTAATTTACACAAAATAAAAAATAAGCGTGGTCATATACTTAACTCTAGAACATTCGTGGAGAATGTGGAGACTGACAAAATCTAATGGGTACTTTAAAAAAACTGTAAATTTCCTGATAAAAGTCAACTCCTGTATTCAAAATTGGTTATGTAATAAATGTAATTGTAAAAAAAATACATATATATATATATATATATATATATATATCCATCCATCCATCATCTTTTACCCGCTTCTTCCATTTTGGGTCACAGGGGTCGCCGGTGCCCATGTCCAGCAATCACTGTGCGAGGGGTGGGGTACACCCTAGACGGGTCGCAAGTTCATCTCAAGGACACAAAGAGACAAACTAGACAAACAACCATTCCCTCTCTCACTCACACCTAGGGACAATTAAGAGTTACCAATCAACCTAACATGCATGTTTTCGGTCTGTGGGAGGAAACCGGAGCACCCGG